AAGGGCCTGCCCAATAGTACTTTATAGGCTGGGTCCCGTATTACATGCACTTGCAGGTAAATCGTAATTCCTCTGAAGTTAAATGGAACATTTTTGGCGAGACCAAGGGTTTTTTCCGCAGTTCTATTCGCACTTTGCATTTGAATGGTTATATCAGGATCCCAAGGGACTGCTAATTTCTTAGCAACCTCCGCATCCATTGATACAATTTGTGAGCCACCATCCAACAAGCTCTCTACTTGACCAAACTTATTAATTACTGGATATATCGATTTTAATGCCTTACTCCAGGAGAAATGCTCATAAGTACTTCCGCGCTTAGAGTAACAGGTGCTTTTAACAGACTGCTCAACGCTTGTTCCTCATTTTTAACATTTTCTATTGGAGCTAAATGCTTGTATGCTATCGGGCGCTTCTCATAGAAAGGCACTGGGTCATACTCTTCAACTGATTCTTTCGCATTACTATTTAAGTCTGGGATACCGAGATACGGTAATTGTTTGTGCCTTGGATTAGGATCCTCGACATCATCATTTCTTTCAAGTAATTTTTGATTATTTTTCAAAGTTTTCTTTGGTCCATTGAGATTTTCTGGTTTCTCGGGAGGAGTTTCTTCTTCCTCTGATTCTTCGATAATCACAACTTTCCTACCCCTTTTCTTTGGTGCGTCCTCCGGTGCCTTTGGTTCTCCAGCATTGGGTTTAGTCTTACTGGAAGGCCCCTTCATCGGACTCTTTAGTTTCCCGACTGTCCCTGAGTCTCGGTTTGAGATCTACGGGTGACGGCAAACTGCGACGCGTCTACGTCCCTCGTTTTATTGGGGTTTGTAACAAGGTTCGCAAGCATGTCGGTAAGTTTTAACACTTGGTTGTTCATGTTGAGAATCACATCGTCTCTTGTATCTCGCATCTGGTTTGTAAAAACGGAAATTTCATTTCCATTATTATTATCCGGTAGCCTGATTATACCTGGGACAACAGCTTCTTGACTAAAGACTTCTCCAGGCTCTGCAAACATATTATTTTGTAGAGTCGAATTTTGCCTACTAGCCTCCTCGACAATTTGTCGAACGGATTTTTCGCCATTCCCTCTAGGTACTGCAGTATTATTATGCATAAAATACATTCGGTTCCCAAGAAGCTTGATTTTCTTCTGGGCTACGTGTGCTTCTCTATGTGGACAATTCGAAGTAAAATGGCCTGGTTCATCACAGTACCAACAGCCATCTGAAGTCATTTTATAACTCGCCACTTGCTTG